GATCACAACCAGACACAATGAAGACATCTGCCCTTGCGCTTTGCTATTCTGCTGCTGGGTATGCATGCCCAGTGTGGAATACACCTCACCAGTGTGCTGGTACAGCTGTACCAGAAGCTCCCACTTTATTTGCTTTGTATTAAGTGTTTGCTTGCAGCCCAAGGCTTGGGATTCTGCAGAAGGGTGGCTTCCTGTTAAAGTTTGCAGTTATAGGGCAGGCCCCCTGTCCATCATTGTTAAGTTTGGTTCCGCCCCTTGTTCAGGACAATTTTGAAGGGAAGGGAGCCATTTTCAGTCAGTCTCAGCAAAGAAAGTCAATGTGCAGGATGTGTACAGACTTTTTCCTGTACAAAGGCTTCAACCCTTAAGACCTGCGGGGGGAGAACAATCTTAAGAACATCTAAAGATTCCCAAAGGTTCCCAGGGAAACAGCCTTACAGCCCTGAGGAATTTCGGAGGGAATAACAGCTTTAAACATCAAGAACTCCAGCTAAGTGACTACAGGCCTACTGGTAGGTCCACTCGGTTTTGAGACACAGTTCACCCGGTAGTGAATCCACATCAGTTAGGTTTAGGATCACAGCCTGGGAGAAGTTTGGAAAGGGATTTTCCTTTAGAGTAACAGCAACAGTTAGAAGCCACCAGTTGCACAAAAGCCTGGAAGCATTTGTTTAACCCTTTTGAAGACAAAAGAAGTTTCTGTTGATTGTTCACCAATAAAAGACTTTGTTATATTTTACAAGCCCTCTAGAGACTGTTTATGGTGAAAATCCTTACGAATTTCTCTTCGGGCCCCCTGGCTTCCCGCTGGGCTAAAGTTGCATGTCCTGTATTAAAGTCAATTCATTTCAAGCCCAGCGCGCAACAGAACACCACGCTAAAACAGTGGATGTGGCTCTTAGTGGGACATGCCGCATTTTCACGGGGTGTCTGCGCCCTCCATCACTAGAGAAATTACCTTGTTTAACCAGTATTGCACCACCTAACATCCACCGTGGAGTAGCAACCAATAGTGAGAGGACCAAGGCAGTGACATCTCCGGCTCACCCCCTGTTTGGGTATCAGCCAGCATGCCAACAACTTAAATAAAGAAATAGTTTTCCAAGATCTGTGCCCCCTGACCCCCTCTGCATCCTAGTGCAGTTTGGAGGAGGATGAACCACGGATTATGGGACTTGCAGTACATTCACTCACGTTTTGAGACCACTGCGACCCTCATGTTGGGACTCAGCCTGTGATTGAACCTGAGCCTGGGCTTGAACCTGTGAATGTGTTTCAGTCTCCTGATGTTTCTGTGTCTGATGTGGGTAATGAGGAGGGAAACCAGTCCCCTGTTGCTTCTGATGTGGGGGATGCTGGGACTGACTCTGAGGTGCCAGATGGAGACACTTTGGTCAATGAGTTTCATGCAGACACTGACAGAGAGGCTTTGGTGCAAAGGGCAGATTCTCATGAGAATGTTTCTGTCAGGCCTTGGGAGGAAGGTTTACTCCCTCCGCCTGTGAGTTCTCCAGATTCTAGTTTGGAAAACAGTCTAGCACCTGCTAGAGTTAATACGGAGTCAGATAAGCAGAGTTCGCTGCTGGAGATTAGCCAGAATCGACAAGAAGCCCAATGTTTACGTAGCTCCGAAAGAATTAGGCAGTCTAGGTCAAAGACTGGGGAGAAACGAAACCAGTTTTTGGGATTTAAGGTTTGCCTGTAGAGAATCTTGTCAGATCAGGCATCATTTGGAAACCAAGTTCTTGTGCCATGGAAGTCTTGTTCAAGGGATATTGTTTCTGTGGAATTTTCTAGCCTTTTGGACTGTCTTTGCATCCTGCTTGATTCCTGTCTGGATTAATGCTGTCTTGGATTGCCTGTATTTCTTGGGTGGACTTTGCTTTGGGTTACTACTGTTTATGGACGAATACTTTTTGGAACCTTCTGATTTTCTTACAAGCATTTATTTCTTCTGGCTATTTACTAAGCTACAATAAAATAAGACTTGGTTCTTCTCTCTTCATGTGGTGTGTTTTAAGTCAGAGGGCTTCTTCTGGACCTGGAGTGCAATATCTCATCCAATGACTGATCAAGACCAGACTTGGCACACAGAGCCCCCCATGGCCCATTCTACATCCTAGTGCAGTTTTGAGGAGGATGGACAACGGATGATGGGACTTGAAGCACCTCCACTCACTTCCTGAGAGTGTTGCGACCCTCATCCAATGACTGATCAAGACCAAACTTGGCACACAGAACCCTCGTGACCCACTCTACATCCTGGTGCAATTTGGAGAAGGATGGACCACAGATGATGGGACTTGAAGTACCTTAACTCACTTCCCAAGACTGTTGCGACCCACATCCAATGACTGATCAAGACCAAACTTGGCACACAGAGCCCCCATGACCCATTCTACGTCCTAGAGCAGTTTCGAGGAGGACAGACCATGGCTGATGGGACTTGAAGTACCTCCACTTATTTCCCAAGAGTGCTGCGACCCTCATCCAATGACCGATCAAGACCAAACTTGGCACACAGAGCCTTCATGACCCATTCTACATCCTGGTGCTGTTTCGAGGAGGACAGACCACGGATGATGGGACTTGAAGTATTCACTTCCCGAGAGTGCTGCGACCGTCATCCAATGACCAATCAAGACCCAACTTGGCACACAGAACCCTCGTGACCACTCTACATCCTGGTGGAGTTTGGACAAGGATGGACCACAGATGATGGGACTTGAAGTGCCTTAACTCACGTCCCAAGACTGCTGCAACCCTCATCCAATGACTGATCAAGACCAAACTTGGCACACAGAGCCCCCATGACCCACTCTACATCCTGGTGCAGTTTGGAAGAGGATGGACAATAGGACTTGCATATGGGAGTTGTATTTCACCCATACCAACTGAACCAAGATGACATTGGATCTAGATTAAAACTGCAACACAGACAAACAATACCTATCTCAAATAACCCGGGCACCGCCAGGTCCCAAAGTTAGTAATAAATCAATTAATTTATCAAGTGATTAGAAGCCAATTGAATTCTGCACAGTGAGTACTTACTGCAAAACGCAGCAGGAGGCACGATTTTCCGACTCCAGAATCACCGATCAGCAGCAGCTTAAACAAATAGTCACTGTTGTGGAAGAAGGAAAGAGAAACAAACTGAACAAAAGAAGTGGTTTAGTTTTACTTTTTACCTTCCTTAGGAGGAGAGGGATAGAATTCAGCCGAGTCTCGCTTATCCGACCTTCGCTTATCTGGCAATCTGTCTTATCTGACGGCCCCCTTTTCCTCCAGGATTTCCCCTTCAATGAAAGGAATGCTTCCAACTCTCCCCCCGTTGAGTTGTTGTGAATGTAGTAAACTACAAGGCTTCAAACTACAAGAAAGGAGATTCCATCTGAACATTAGGAAGAACTTCCTGACTGTGAGAGCTGTTCAACAGTGGAACTCTCTGCCCCGGAGTGTGGTAGAGGCTCCTTCTTTGGAAGCTTTTAAACAGAGGCTGGATGGCCATCTGTTGGGGTGCTTTGAATGCAATTTTCCTGCTTCTTGGCAGAATGGGGTTGGACTGGATAGCCCATGAGGCCTCTTCCAACTCTAGGATTCTATTATTCTATGAAAACTGCTAGGCCATTAAATGCTAATCAAGGTGACCAATTGCTATATTCACACCTACCCGAAACACACAAGAGTTCTTTCTCCCATCCCGGATATTATTCCACAGATATATAAACCCCACTTGCCAACTTTCCAGCAGACCTCACAACCTCTGAGGATGTCTGCCATAGATGTGGGTGGGAACTTTAATTTCTTTTTCCTCTTTTAATTTAAGTGTTTCTTGAGAAACTTCAAGTCGCTTCTGGTGTGAGAGAATTGGCAAAGACATTGCCCAGGGGATGCTCGGATGTTTTACCATCCTGTGGGAGGGTTCTCTCATGTCTCCTCATGGGAAGCTGGAGCTGACAGACAGGAGCTCACCCCGCTCCCTGGATTCGAACTGCTGACCTTTCAGTCCTGCCGGCCCAAGGCTTTAACCCATTGTGCCACTGAAGGCTCCAATGCACAGGTGAAAACCTAGTTGGCTCAGCATCACCTCCCTTCTAGCAACGTAAATCACCCCGTGCCAACATGGCTTCTCACCTCATTGCTTGATACTTACTATTCAGGGCTGATGGTTGACATCCTGACAGGCAGACATGCAGAAAACCCAGGCGTCCTGCTACTTCAAGTCAAGGAAAAGAACTGGGATAGATAGGATGTTGCCGTTCTCTGGATTCAGTTTGCCTTTTGGAGAGAAAAGAAGAGTTTTGCTACTGTTGTCCCATGATATGAGATTAGGTCTCTGGTTGGAGAGAGCTAAGGAAACATTAATGCAGTGGTTCTCAGCCTTCCTAATGCCGTGACCCCTTAATACAGTTCCACATGTGGTGGGGACCCCCAACCATAACATTATTTTCATTACTACTTCACAACTGTCATTTTGCTACTGTTGTCCCGTGATATGAGATTAGGTCTCCGGTTGGAGAGAGCTAAGGATAAGTTAATGCAGTGGTTCTCACGCTTCCAAATGCCACGACCCCTTAATACAGTTCCTCATGTTGTAGTGACCCCCAACCATAACATTATTTTTGTTGCTACTTCACAACTGTAATTTTGCTACTGTTGCCCCGTGATATGAGATTAGGTCTCTGGTTGGAGAGAGCTAAGGAAAGGTGAATACAGTGGTTCTCACCCTTCCTAATGCCGTGACCCCTTAATACAGTTCCTCATGTGGTAGTGACCCCCAACCATAACATTGTTTTCGTTGTTACTTCAGAAATGTCATATTTCTCTTGTTGTCCCGTTATATGAGATTAGGTCTCTGGTTGGAGAGAGCTAAGGAAACGTTAATGCAGTGGTTCTCAGCCTTCCTAATGCCGTGACCCCTTAGTACAGTTCCTCATGTGGTGGTGACCCCCAACCATAACATTATTTTCGTTGCTACTTCAGAAATATCAATTTGCTACTCTTGTCCCATGATATGAGATTAGGTCTCTGGTTGGAGAGAGCTAAGGAAAAGTTAATGCAGTGGTTCTCAACCTTCCTAATGCTGAGACCCCTTAGGACAGTTCCTCATGTTCTGGTGACCCCCAACCATAACATTATTTATCGTTGCTACTTCATAACTCGAATTTTGCTACTGTTATGAATCGTAATGTAAATATCTGATATGCAGGGTGTATTTTCATTCACTCGATCCAATTTGGCACAAATACCTGATATGCCAAAATTTGAATACTGGTGGGATTGGGAGGGGGGATTGATTTTGTCATTTGGGAGTTGGAGTTGCTGGGATTTATAGTTTACCTACAATCCAAGAGCATTCTGAACTCCCCCAATGATGGAATTGAACCAAACTTGGCACCCTGAACTCCCATGATCAACCGAAACTACTGGAAAGATTTGGTGGGCATTGACCTTGAGTTCTGGAGTTGTAGTTCACCTATATCCAGAGAGCACTGTGGACTCAAACAATGATGGATCTGGACCAAACTTGGCACAAATACTCCAAAATGTCCAAATGTCAACATTGGTGGAGTTTAGGGAAAGTAGACCTTGACATTTGGGAGTTGTAGTTGCTGGGATTTATAATTCACCTACAATCAAAGAGCATTCTGAACACGACCAGCAATGGAATTGAACCAAACTTGGCACGCTGAACTCCCACGATCAACAGAAAATACTTGAAAGATTTGGTGGGCATTGACCTTGAGTTCTGGAGTCGTAGTTCACCTACATCCAGAGAGCACTGTGGACTCAAACAATCATGGATTTGGACCAAACTTGGCACACATCCTCAATATTCCCAAATGGATTTTGGGGGAAATAGACTTTTACATTTGGGAGTTGTAATTCCTAGGATTTATAGTTCACCCACAATCAAGGAGCACTTTGAACCTAATCCGCAATGGATCTGCACCAAACTTTGCACCAATACTCAATATGCCCAGATGTGGAGTTTGGGGGAAATAGCCATTTGGGAGTTGTAGTTGCTGCGATTTATAGTTCACCTACAATCAAAGAGCACTTTGAACCCAGCCCACAATGGATCTGCACCAAACTTGGCACGAATACTCAATATGCCCAGATGTGAACACTGGTGGAGTTTGGGAGAAATAGACTTTGACATTTGGGGGTTGTAGTTGCTGGGATTTATAGTTCACCTACAATCAAAAAGCATTCTGAGTCCCACAAACGATAGAATTAGGCCAGTCTCAGAAATGGCCCTTAACCTTAATTTTACGAAGTAGTGCATGGCTAAATGAACTACAACCAATACTTTCACATTATCAAATGGTCCTTTTCCTAACGATCAGTACATTGCATCTGTCCTTGATCCCCTGGCTGCAATTGGGCTTCTTTCCAGCCCACTCTCTGCATCTCCGGAAATAGGATTTCATTCCTGTGGAACCAGCTGTTCACTGTAAACGAGCGAGTGTCTCAGGGCTCCTTTCCACAACAGACATCATGGTTTTATAATCATTGAACTGTCATGGCTTCCACAAAGGATGCTGGAAATTGTAGTCCGGTGCTTAGAACTCTCTTGCAAAAATCTGCCCTTTCCAAAAGCTACATTTCCTGAGGAACGAACCCTCTCTCCAAAAAAGGAAAAGCTGTCTAACTAGTTTGGTTGTCACTAGACTGTATGTGCTCATAGTACATTTAAACCAGTGGTGCCGACCTGTAGTCCGTGGCACAAGAACTAAAATGTAGTCCGCGGCGTCACCGTTGCTACCCCGTTGCAACAAGAGGGACTACTCTCAAAACCCCATTGTAGTGCCAAGGCTTATTAAATACTGTTTTATGTAGGTGAGCAGATGGTGACTACTGGATGGCATATGTTCTGTATCAGAAACTAGAACTGATGTGGTCTATCCGATGCAATTTTCTGAATTTGACCAAAAACATATTCATAACCCTTTGGGTACTGATGTTGGAGAGTGGTCCCGGGGCAAAGTGGTTTCTGTTCAAAGTGGCCCCTGGTTAAGTGGTCCCTGGTCCAAGTAGTTCTTGGTCAACTGGTCCTTGGTCAATTGGTCCCTGATCAAAGTGGTTTCTGATCAAAATGGTTCTTAGTCAAGTGGTCCTTTGTCAAAGTGGTCTCTGATCAAAGTGGTTCCTGGTCAAGTGGTCGCTGATCCAAGTAGTCCTTGGTCAACTGGTCCTGATCAAAGTGGTTCCTGATCAAAGAGGTTCTTGGTCAAGTGCTCTCTGATCAAAGTGGTCCCTGATCAAAGTGGTCCCTGATCAAGTGGTCCTTGGTCAAAGTGGTCCTTGATCAAAGTGGTCCCTGATCAAGTGGTCCTTGGTCAAAGTGGTTCCTCATCAAAGTGGTTCCTGGTCAAGTGGTCCCTGATCCAAGTAGTCCTTGGTCAACTTGTCCTGATCAATGTGGTTCTGATCAAAGTGGTTCCTGGTCAAGTGGTGCCTGGTCAAAGTGGTCCCTGGGCAAAGTGACCTCTGATCAAAGTGGTCACTGATCAAAGTGGTCACTGATCAAAGTGGTCCCTGATCAAGTGGTCCCTGATCCAAGTAGTCCTTGGTCAACTGGTCCTTTGTCAACTGGTCCTGATCAAAGTGGTTCCTGATCAAAGAGGTTCTTGGTCAAGTGCTCTCTGATCAAAGTGGTCCCTGATCAAGTAGTCCCTGGTCAAAGTGGTCCCTGATCAAAGTGGTCCCTGATCAAGTGGTCCTTGGTCAAAGTGGTTCCTCATCAAAGTGGTTCCTGGTCAAGTGGTCCTTTGTCAAGGTGGCCTCTGATCAAAGTGGTCCCTAGTCAAGTGGTCACTGGTCAAGTGGTCCTTGGTCAAAGTGGTCCCTGATCAAACTGGTCTCTGATCAAAGTGGTCCCTGTTCAAGTAGTCCCTGGACAAGTGGTCCCTGACCAGAGCAGTCCTTGTTCAAAGTGGTCCCTGATCTAGTGGTCCTTGGTCAAAGTGGTCCCTGATCAAAGTGGTCCCTGATCCAGTGGTCCCTGGTCAAAGTGGTCCCTGATAAAAGTGGTCCCTGATCAAAGTAGTCCCTGATCAAGTGGTCCTTTATCAAAGTGGTCCTTGGTCAAAGTGGTCCCTGATCAAGTGGTCCTCGGTCAAAGTGGTCCCTGATCAAAGTGGTCCCTGATCAAAGTGGTCCCTGATGTAGTGGTCCTTGGTCAAAGTGGTCCCTGATCAAAGTGGTCCCTGGTCTAGTGGTCCTTGGTCAAAGTAGTCCCTGATCAAGTGGTCCTTGATCAAAGTGGTTCTTGATCAAAGTCTTCGGTCAAAGTAGTCCCTGATCAAAGTAGTCCTTGGTCAAGTGGTCTCTGGTCAAAGTGGTTCCTGGCCAAAGTGGTCCCTGATCAATATGTTCCTTGTTCAAGTGGTCCCTGATCAAAGTGGTCTGTGGTCAAAGTAAAAAAAAAAAAAGCTACTGATTTAAATCCAGACTTCCTCCTTGATATTTTTAGCTTTGGGAAACATGACCTGAGTTGAAGGGAGTTTGGGTTCTTCAAAAATGGGAGCCTCCCCACAAACTTTAGACAATACCACTGCAAAAAGATGCTTAGAACCTGACCCCAGTCCCCGCCTTTCCAGAATCCTATGTCTGAAGGGGCGGCAATGATTCCAAACAGGAATGTCTCCCGAAGGCCAGATGTAGCATCTGATCCCTACTGTTTTGTCCCCTGACTCCTTTGGCCCTCCTGCCCCCGCCCCAGCTGGTAGCAATGCAGTAAAATGTCTTCCGCTTCATCCTGATGGCTTCCAAACATCCTTGTTGGAAAGGAAGCAATCTTGATCTCCTTCCTGCCTCCCTCCCATGGCTCCCATCCATCCATCCATCCTCATTTTTGTGCATGCTTCAGCAAATCAGATAGAGAGAGAGAGAGAGAGAGATGGGGAAGAGGTGGCGTTACCTTTCCGAGGAAGGACAAAGTGTCCCTCTCCAAAGAACCTGGATATCGTCAGGGTATCTGCTGCAGAGTGAAGAGAGATGATGGATGAGGTCCCACGCAGGTCGAGGAGCCACCTGGACCATCCCCTGCTGTCAAAGGAAGAGCCCTGTCAATCCGTTGGAGGCTCATCCCCTGCCTGTGGACCACAAGGAAGGTCTGCGGTGGCAAGTCTAGCCGTGCCGGAGGAGAGGCCGCACTGGGTCCCAAAGCACCATGGTGGGGAAGGAACAAAGGATCTCCCCACCCTGCCGCCTCCCCTTCCCCAGATTTCCACCCAGCAGCTGTTCTCCTCCTCCTCCTCCTCCTCTTCCTCTCTTCTCTCCTGTCTTGCAGCAAAGATGCTCCCAGCTGAGGGCTCGGCCATTGGCCAGTGGTTGGAGATGACATCACCTGATGATGCAGAGGATTGGCCAGCAAGGAAGGGATTGGCTTGCAGAAGGGAAGCAGGGAGGGATCCAGGTCTGCAAAGCAGGAGGGATGGAGGGTCCCTGCAAGAGAAAGGGAGGGGACACCGTGGGCTTGCAAGGCATGTATGAAGGACCAGGAAAGAGAGGCAGGAAGTGAGCGGCTCACCTGATAGTGGTCCCTAAAGGGGTGGGATTTTAGTCTCGCTTGCCCAACATAAACCTGAGATATGTAGTAAATAAAGAGGGCCAAGTTCTTGGTGGGATGGGCATCCCAAGCCCCCTTCCCTCTCTCCTGAGGAATCTGTACAAGGACCAAGGAGCAACAGTCAGAACTGACCACGGAACAACAGACTGGTTCAAGATTGGGAAAGGCGTCCGGCAAGGCTGCATCCTCTCACCCAACCTTTTTAACTTGTATGCAGAACACATCATGCGAGGATGTGCGGGGCTTGATGAATGCAAAGCTGGGGTGAAAATGGCTGGAAGAAACATTCACAACCTCAGATATGCAGATGACACCACTCTGATGGCCGAAAGCGAGGAGGAGCTGAGGAGCCTTCTAATCAAGGTGAAAGAAGAAAGCGCAAAAGCCGGGTTGCAGCTAAACGTCAAAAAACCAAGATTATGGCAACAAGAATGATTGACAACTGGAAAATAGAGGGAGAAAACGTGGAGGCCGTGACAGACTTTGTATTTCTAGGTGCAAAGATGACTGCAGATGCAGACTGTGGCCAGGAAATCAGAAGACGCTTCTCTTCTTGGGAGGAGAGCAATGTCACAATCAGGGCCAGCTAACACCTCCCAACATGTTCAGGGTGGGAGAAAGAACTCTTGTCCCTTTGAGGTAGGTGTGAATGTTGCAACTGGCCAGCTTGATTAGCATTGAATGGCCTAGCAATTTTCAAGGTCTGGCTTCTTCCTGCCTGGGGGAATCCTTTGTTGGGAGGTGATTAGCTGTCCCTAGTTGTTTCTTGTCTGGAGTTCCCCTGTGCTTGAGTGTTGTTCTTTATTTGCTGTTTTAAATACTGGTAGCCAGATGTTGTTCATTTTCATGGTTTCTTCCTTTTTGTTGAAATTGACCACCGTCTAGAACATGGCCAAACAGCCCCAAAATTCTACAACAACCCAGTGATTCTGGCCACGAAAGCCTTCGGCAATACAATTCCATCCGCACTCTGCAAATTAATGCAGGGGAGCAATCATAATTAATGCAGGAGAGCAATCAGGGGTGAAAAGAGGAAGTTCTGCCCATGCTCAGAAGCCCTGAGTTTTCTTTCAAAGTCCAAAATATTGTGTCCAATTCTGGGCACCACAACTGAAGGGAGATGTTGACTCCAAGCTGGAATGTGTCCAGAGGAGGGCGACTAAAATGATCAAGGGTCTGGAGAACAAGCCCTATGAGGAGCGGCTTAAAGAGCTGGGCATGTTTAGCCCGAAGAAGAGAAGGCTGAGAGGAGACATGATGAGGGCCATGGATAAATAAGTGAGGGGAAGCCACAGGGAGGAGGAGGGAGCAAGCTTGTTTTCTGCTTCCCTGGAGACTAGGACGCAATGGAACAATGGCTTCAAACTACAAGAGAGGAGATTCCATCTGAACATGAGGAAGAACTTCCTGACTGTGAGAGCTGTTCAGCAGTGGAACTCTCTGCCCCAAAGTGTGGGGGAGGCTCCTTCTTTGGAGGCTTTTAAGCAGAGGCTGGATGGCGGTGCTTTGTTGGGGGTGCTTTGAATGCAATATTCCTGCTTCTTGGCAGAATGGGGTTGGACTGGATGGCCCATGAGGTCTCTTCTAACTCTAGGATTCGATGATTCCAGATCAATATTTAGGAAAGTGGAAGCCTAAGAGGCAGTGCCCATGAAAGGAGGATCTGAAATGCTGAAATGTACAAAATCTGCAATCCAAACTAGTCAAATGTGGGCTAGGCAAAAGTACAGTTAGGTGGCTCTGTAATTGGTTAAGCAAACGAACCCAAAGGGTGCTTTTCCCTGATGCTTCCTCTTCATCCCGGAAAGAAGTGGCGAGTGGAGTGCCATCAGCAGGGTTCCCTCCTGGGCTCGGTTCTGTTCAGGATCTGTATTAATGGCTTTGATGCAGGGTCAGAAGGCAGGAACATCAAGTTTGCAGACGAGACCAAACTGGGAGGTTAGGGGGGCCAATACTCCAGAAGACAGGAGCAGAATTCAAAACGATCTTCACATTGTGGGCCAAAACTAACACAATGAAGTTAAATGGGGAGAAATGTAAGAGACTCCACTTTGGCAGGAAAAAAAATGGAAATGCAGAGACAGAATGGGGGACGATGCCTGGCTCAAGAGCAGTACGTGTGAAAAAGATCTTGGGGTCCTCGTGGAGAGGAAGGAGAACATGATCCAGGAATGTGATCCAGCAGCAAAAAAAAAAAAAAGGCCAATGAGATTTTGCCCTGCATCAATAGGAGTCTAGTGCCTAAATTCAGGGAAGTCATGCTATTTCTCTATTCTGCCTTGGTTAGTCCACATCTGGAATACTGTGTCTAATTCTGGGCACCACGATTGAGCTGTCCAGAGGAGGATGACACAAAGGATCAAGGGTCTGGAGAACAAACCCTATGAGGAGCGGCTTAAAGAGCTAGACATGTTTAGCCTGCAGAAGAGAAGGCACAGAGGAGACATGGCGAGGGCCAGGGATCAAGAGGTATGGGGAAGTCATAGGTAGGAGGGAGCAGGCTTGTTTTCTGCGGTCCTGAAGACTAGGACACAATGGAACAATGGCTTCAAACAACAGAAGATCTGAACATTAGGAAGAACTTCCTGACTGTGATTGTCGTTCAGCAGTGGAACTCTCTCTCTGCCCCAAAGTGTGGTGGAGGCTCCTTCTATGGAGGCTTTTAAGCAGAGGCTGGATGGCCATCTGTTGGGGGTGCTTTGAATGCAATTTTCCTGCTTCTTGGCAGAATGGAGTTGTACTGGATGGCCCAGGAGGTCTCTTCTAACTCAAGGATTATATGATTCTAAGACTAGCATTAATTCTCCCATCAAATATTTACATTTGCTAAGAAATCAGAGGAAAGAGAGAGGGTGGCTTTCCTACACCCGTTCCCTGTTCCGTCTCAGATCCCTGACCTGTGTGCTTGGGCTGTCCTTGTCCTCCAATCCAGGTGCTGAGAATGATGATTGGGATCCAGGTGACAGATGAACAACTAGAATGCATTACAGACCGCACGATCCAGGAGGCCGATAAAGATGGAGACGACGCCATCTCCTTTGAAGAATTTGCAAAGGTCTGGTCAGTTACAGATAATGAAACTTTCTGTACGATCCTGTGAGTTCGAATCTGTGGGATACATGTCCATGTCCATGTCCATGTCCATGTCCATATACATATACATATACATATATATATATATATATCCTGAAGTATAGATATCCCACAGAAGTATGTGTATATATCACTGAGGTTAAGATCTTTTGGAGGGGGCCCTTCTCTCGGTCCCACCTCCTTCACAGGCCAGTGGGGATGAGAGACAGGACCTTCTCAGTGGTGGCCCCTCAGCTTAGGAACTCTCTGCAGTGAGATTAGATCAGTGCCCTCTTTGGCCAAGTTTGGATCAATTCTATCGTTGGTGGAGTTCAGAATGCTGTTGGTCAAGTTTTCTGTTTTCTGTTGGTCAAGGGGGTTCTATATGGGAAGTCTGACCCAATTCTTTGGTGGAGTTGAGAACGCTCTTGGATTGTAGTTGAACTATAAATCCCAGCAACTACAACTCCCAAATGTCAAGGTCTATTTTCCCTAAACTCCACCAGTGTTGACATTTGGGAATATTGAGTATTTGTGCCAAGTTTGGTCCAGATCCATCATTGTTTGAGTCCACAGTGACCTCTGGATGTAGGTGAACTACAACTCCCAAACTCAAGGTCAACACCCACCAAACCCTTCCAGTATTTTCTGTTGGTCATGGGAATTCTGTGTGCCAAATTTGGTTCAATCCCATTCAATTCACATTTGGGCATATTGAGTATTTTCTGTTCGTCATGGAAGTTCTGTGTGCCAAGTTTGGTTCAGTTCCATCATTGGTGGAGTTCAAAATGCTCTTTGATTGTAGGTGAACTATAAATCCCAGCAATTACAACTCCCAAATGTCAAGGTCTATTTTCTCCCAAACTCCACCAGTGTTCGCATTTGGGAATATTGAGTATCCGTGCCAAGTTTGGTCCAGATCTATCATTGCCTGAGTCCACAGTGCTGGCTGGATGTGGGTGAACTACAACTCCCAAACTCAAGGTCAATGTCCACCAAACCCTTCCAGTATTTTCTGTTGATCGCAGAAGTTCTGTGTGCCAAGTTTGGTTCAATTCCATCATTTGTGGAGTTCTTTTGACCTTCCCCTGGTATTCTTTGTGCCGAATGCCCCTTTGGATCAGGCTTTGCTTTGACATTTTAAAAGGGGGAAAAATTGAAAATTATGAAATATGCATGAGGTGGCTGTTGCATCTATGAATGGTTTTGCTGAGGAGTGCAAAAAAGGAGGCCTGGATAGGAAAACAAAACCCTGCAAGTGGACGTCTTGTTCAAAGTCTCTGTGAAGGAAGCAGGAAGAGCGAGTACGGCGGCCAGAACAAAAAGTCCTGTTAAGATCACAAGGACAAGTGCCATAGTGAAGCCAATCAGCCTTTTTTACGAGGCACCAACTGTTGCCAAATCAAATACTTGTATATGCAAAGGGTAACCACATGTGGGTTGCGAATCGCAGACTGATTATATAAGCAATGTGTGGTAAATTTCTGGAATGAGCTATGTGTCGTACTCCAGAGCAGAATCACCTCTGACTTGAAACACCACACCAGCTGGGTAAAATCAGCAAGCAGTTTATTTAGGAATATATATGTAGCCAAAGCAGTAAAAAGTTATCCACAGTAAAAGTAATCCAGTTTAGATCATCAGATACAAAGGAAGACAGGAACAAAGAATCCAAGTAACTGGGTTGTTGTAGGGGTTTTTTTTAGGGGGGGGGCATCTGTAGACCTCACTACCTCTGAGGATGCTTGCCATAGATGCAGGCGAAACATCAGGAGAGAATGCCTCTAGAACATGGCCATATAGCTCGAAAAAACCTACAACAACCCAGTGATTCCGGCCATGAAAGCCTTCGACAACACATTGAATCCAAATAAATCCATGAAACTAGGCACTTGAATCCATTAACAATACAGAAGCATATCCTATAGACAAAACATAAGCTAGACAGATCTTGGTGCATGAAACATGGCGTTATCTCAGTGTTGCCTCAACTGAAGCAAACAATTCTCACACGTCATTATAAACTCTTCCCTGACTTCAAATCTGCTAGGAATGGATTCTTTCTTAGTTTCGGTTTACAATCTAACTTCTGTTGAATCTGAGCTGAGCATCTTAATTGATGCTTGGACTGCCTCAGTTTACTAAAGCTTTTTTTCCTATTCAAGATCTCATTAACTCCTGCGCCTGGTACATCCAAATCACCTTCATTCTCAGATCACTTATCAGGGAACTGCAATGAACAGCCTTTCCCAAGGCCAGGACCTTGAGAATCCTCTTGCAGCAACTCTGGCCTCTCTGTCCTCTCTTTTAAACTATCACAAAGGACTACCACATCACCCACTTCATAGGCTATCTGATACAAAACAGGAGCTTTTTGTTGAGTTCCAGGGCCAGAGAAGCAGACGGTGAAAACAGAAGAACAGCCTGCCTCAGGGGATCGTGTTTGCTCCATCAGTGTTTAATATTTACATATGACGAGCCACTGCCAAAAGGGACAGAGATATTCATCTATGCTGATGATCATGCCATCACCACTCAAGCAGGGAGCTTTGAAATAGTTGAACAGAAGCTCTCCGAAGCTTTAGCTGCTCTTACTGCTTATTACAGGGAAAAGCAACTGGTTCTTAATCCATCTAAAATGCAAATGTGTGCTTTTCACCTTAAGAACAGACAAGCGTCTCATGTTGGCTAAAAACATAGGTAAAAGACTTTCAGCCTGTGTCTAAAATTGGGAAATGTCTAATTCTAGCTAAGGTCACATGGGGAAGGTTGACCATGTCGATATAGCCTGAAAAAACCTACAACCACCCAACCTTGTGAGAACTTACAGAAGACATTTGACCTCTGTCATTGCCAATAAAGGATATATAACAAAGTATGGAGGTGAACTTTTGTTATGGACCAAATACTTATTTTCCACCATCATTTGCAAATAAATTTGATTGCAATCAGACAATTTGATTTTCTGAATATGTTTTCTCATGTTGTCTCTCATAGTTGAGGTCTATCTAGGACCGTGATGGTGAACCTATGACATGCGTGTCAGCACTGACACACATGGCTATTTTTGATGACACGCGGCCACACGCGGCCACATGCAGAGACGTACACCTTATAAGAGCCAATCTAATTCCATCTTTACATTTGTAAAAGGCTCTACAAATTTAACATCTGCACGTTCGTGCATTGTTCACTCCATAACTCAGCATGGAATATACATTTTTCTTATTTAAACTATAAATATTGCAAAATTATGTGGTTTTTTTTCCTTCTTGAAGTTGACACCCCACCCAAGTTATGCTCTGGTTTTTGGCAAATTTTGACACACCAAGCTCTAAAGGTTGTCCATCACTGACCTAGGATGTCAATTACAGGCCTCTCTGGGAGAACTGACTAAATACTGGTATCTGACTAAATACTTTTCCCCCCACTGTAAGAACGACAGCACAGCTCGCAAAAGGCAATGTCCCACAGTCTCTGTTTGATTGATCTGAGAGCCATGTCAAAGCCAATCCAGGTGCTGGAAACAAACAGCAGCTGGGAAGCCATCTTAGCGTTGAGGACTTTAGTTGACGAAGGTATGAATTGCCCCCCCCCCCCACGTATTACACCTGAAAGTGTCTCTTCAGCCCGAGAAGGCAGCTATTATATCTGTGCTGTCGCACGCTGGGCCTGTGCATAAGACTGTAGACAGGACATAAATTCTGTGTGCCCAATGGGACGCCAGGGCTGCCTCAGATTAAAGGCCTTTAGATTTCCTTAAAACAGAGTCTTTAGATGGCTTAAAAGTTCAACAAAGTTCTTTATTAATGAAAACAAACAGGTACTTTAAAGCTTTCTTAACAGTCTATTGGCTCTCTCTCAATCTTGTCCACGGGGAACAGGCACTATCTTCATAACTGTAACTAATGGGGAAATCCTTAACTTCTAATCTGGGCAGTCTGTCTTTGCCTCTGTTGACATGGAGCCCCTGCACCCGGTACCAACTGCTTCTGGCTTCCGCGTGTGACCCTTACCAAGCAGAGCTTTGTAGACTTCCAGGGGAAAAGGAGTTCAGGTTTTGGTGATGGCTGGCTGAAGTCCCTCAGCAAAGAAGCTGTAGGGCTGTATAACCCCAGCCAAGCTGTGGGCTGTATATCTCCCCGGCCAAGCCATAGAAGACGAAGCTTTCTACAGGAGCTCTTGGTATTATGTCCTGTGTGAAAGGCTTCCCTGTGTGGACTGAACTCAAGATGGCTCCTATTCCCTCTAAAACCCAAAAAGGGGGCGGGACCAGGTAACCTAACTATAATTGACAGGTGGCTTGCCCTATGATTGCAGCCAAAAGAAGCCACCTATCTGCAGAGTCCCTGAAACTTAGGACTATAACAAACATTCAATGCAAAGCAAACAAAATTGGAGTTCCTGGTACAGCTGTACCTGCACAATATCCTTGTGACAGTGGAGAAAGGATTTCAAAGTATCGAGCCCGTGTATTTCAAAGTATCGAGCCCAATGTCCATTCCAGTTCCGCTTCTGGTTGAAGTTCTATAATGGAGCTAACAAGACCTGGATGGGTATCATCTTAGATGTAGTAGTAGATATATGTCCAGCCGTGAATCTGGTAAATTTAGGATATTCCTCATTATCACAGAGGAAGTCAGTTAAGATGCGATCCCATAATCCATATACAGTTGCTGTAATTTCCTGACTATGCTCAGGAACCTCGCTGATTCACTTCCAGGTTTGGGGAGGAAATTCTCCGTTGCCCATCAGATCATTTCAGGATCCGGAGGCTCATTTTTTGTTCAATGTTCAGCTTTTCCACAGACTGTGAAATGAAAGGCAAGTAGATGTTATTACAAGGGCCTTTGCTTTGAGCTTTTGTGCTTAACTCTAGCTTCTCAACCCTCTGAATGTTTCTCAACCTTCTGAATGCTGCAACCCATTAGTACATTTCCTCATGTTGTGGTGACCCCCAACCATAACAATATTTTCATTGCTACTTCGTAATTGTCATTTTGCTACTGTTGCCCCGTGATATGTGATTAGGTCTCTGGTTGGAGGGAGCTAAGGAAACATTAATGCAATGGTTCTCAACATTCCTAATGCTGCAGCCCCTTAATCCAGTTACTCCTGTTGTGGTGACCCCCAACCATAACATTGTTTTCATTGCTACTTCACAACTGTGACTTTGCTCCTGTTGCCCCGTGATATGAGATTAGGTCTCTGGTTGGAGGGAGCTAAGGAAAAGTTAATGCAGTGGTTCTCAACCTTCCTAATGCTGCGACCCCTTAATACAATTCCTCATGTTGTGGTGACCCCAACCATAACATTGTTCTTGTTGCTACTTTGTAACTGTCATTTTGCTACTGTTGTCCCGTGATATGAGATTAGGACTCTGGTTGGAGAGAGCTAAGGAAACGTTAATGCAGTGATTCTCAACCTTCCTAATGCTGCAACCCCTTAAGACAGTTCTTCCTGTTGTGGTGACCCCCAACCATAACATTGTTCTTGTTGCTACTTTGTAACTGTCATTTTGCTACTATTGTCCCGTGATATGAGATTAGGACTCTGGTTGGAGAGAGCTAAGGAAACGTTAATGCAGTGATTCTCAACCTTCCTAATGCTGCAACCCCTTAAGACTCTGGTTGGAGAGAGCTAAGGAAACGTTAATGCAGTGGTTCTCAATCCTCCTAATGCTGCAAACCTTTAGTACAGTTCCTCATGCTGTGGTGACTCCCAACCATAACATTGTTTTCGTTGCTACTTCATAACTGTCATTTTGCTACTGTTGTCCTGTGATGTGAGATTAGGTCTCTGGTTGGAGGGAGCTAAGGAAACGTTAATGCAGTGGTTCTCAATCCTCCTAATGCTGCAAACCCTTAGTACAGTTTCTCATGTTGTGTTGACCCCCAATCATAACATTTTTTTTGTTGCTACTTCACAACTGTCATTTTGCTACTGTTGTCCCATGATATGAGATTAGGTCTCTGGTTGGAGAGAGCTAAGGAAACGTTAATGCAGTAATTCTCAACCTTCCTAATGCTGCAACCCCTTAAGACAGTTCCTCCTGTTGTGGTGACCCCCAAACATAACATTGTTTTCGTTGCTATTTCACAGCTGTCATTTTCCTACTGTTGCCCCGTGATATGAGATTAGGTCTCTGGTTGGAGGGAGCTAAGGAAAGGTTAATGCAGTGGTTCTCAACCTTCCTAATGCTGCAACCCCTTAACACAGTTCCTCCTGTTGTGGCGACCCCCAACCATAACATTATTTTCGTTGCTACTTCACAGCTGTAATTTTGCTCCTGTTATGAATCGTAATGTAAATATCTGATATGCAGGATGTATTTTCATTCACTGGATCAAATTTTGCACAAATACCTGATACCCCAAATTTGAATACTAGCAGGGTGGGGGTAATTTTGTAATTTGGGAGTTGTAGTTGCTGGGATTTACAGTTCACCTCCAATCAAAGAGCATTCTGAACTCCACCAACGATGGAATTGAACCAAACTTGGCACACAGAACTCCCATGACCAACAGAAAATACTGGAAGGGTTTGGTGGGTACTGACCTTGAGTTTGGGAGTTGTAGTTCACCTACATCCAGAGAGCACTGACTCAAACAATGATGGATCTGGACCAAACTTGGCACAATACTCAATATGCCCAAATGTGAACACTGGTGGAGCTTGGGGAATAGACCTTGACATTTGGGAGTTGTAGCTGGGATTTATAGTTCACCTACAATCAAAGAGCATTCTGAACTCCACAAACGATGGAATTGAACCAAACTTGGCACACAGAACTCCCATGACCAACAGAAAATACTGGAAGGATTTGGTAGGCATTGACCATGAGTTTGGGAGTTGTAGTTCACTACATCCAGAGAGCACTGTGGACTCAAACAATGATGGATCTGGACCAAACTTGGCACAAATACTCAATATTCCCAAATGTCAACACTGGTGGAGTTTAGGGAAAATAGACCTTGACATTTGGGAGTTGTAGTTGCTGGGATTTATAGTTCAACTACAATCCAAGAGCGTTCTCAACTCCACCAAAGAATTGGGTCAGACTTCCCATATAGAACCCCCTTGACCAACAGAAAACAGAAAACTTGACCAACAGCATTCTGAACTCCACCAACGATAGAATTGATCCAAACTTGGCCAAAGAGGGCACTGATCTAATCTCACTGCAGAGAGTTCCTAAGCTGAGGGGCCACCACTGAGAAGGTCCTGTCTCTCATCCCCACTGGCCTGTGAAGGAGGTGGGACCGAGAGAAGGGCCCCCTCCAAAAGATCTTAACCTCAGTGATATATACACATACTTCTGTGGGATATCTATACTTCAGGATATATATATATATATATGTATATGTATATGTATATGGACATGGACATGGACATGTATCCCACAGATTCGAACTCACAGGATCGTACAGAAAGTTTCATTATCTGTAACTGACCAGACCTTTGCAAATTCTTCAAAGGAGATGGCGTCGTCTCCATCTTTATCGGCCTCCTGGATCGTGCGGTCTGTAATGCATTCTAGTTGTTCATCTGTCACCTGGATCCCAATCATCATTCTCAGCACCTGGATTGGGGGACAAGGACAGCCCAAGCACACAAGTCAGGGATCTGAGACGGAACAGGGAACGGGTGTAGGAAAGCCACCCTCTCTCTTTCCTCTGATTTCTTAGCAAATGTAAATATTTGATGGGAGAATTAATGCTAGTCTTAGAATCATATAATCCTTGAGTTAGAAGAGACCTCCTGGGCCATCCAGTACAACTCCATTCTGCCAAGAAGCAGGAAAATTGCATTCAAAGCACCCCCAACAGATGGCCATCCAGCCTCTGCTTAAAAGCCTCCATAGAAGGAGCCTCCACCACACTTTGGGGCAGAGAGAGAGTTCCACTGCTGAACGACAATCACAGTCAGGAAGTTCTTCCTAATGTTCAGATCTTCTGTTGTTTGAAGCCATTGTTCCATTGTGTCCTAGTCTTCAGGACCGCAGAAAACAAGCCTGCTCCCTCCTACCTATGACTTCCCCATACCTCTTGATCCCTGGCCCTCGCCATGTCTCCTCTGTGCCTTCTCTTCTGCAGGCTAAACATGTCTAGCTCTTTAAGCCGCTCCTCATAGGGTTTGTTCTCCAGACCCTTGATCCTTTGTGTCATCCTCCTCTGGACAGCTCAATCGTGGTGCCCAGAATTAGACACAGTATTCCAGATGTGGACTAACCAAGGCAGAATAGAGAAATAGCATGACTTCCCTGAATTTAGGCACTAGACTCCTATTGATGCAGGGCAAAATCTCATTGGCCTTTTTTTTTTTTTTGCTGCTGGATCACATTCCTGGATCATGTTCTCCTTCCTCTCCACGAGGACCCCAAGATCTTTTTCACACGTACTGCTCTTGAGCCAGGCATCGTCCCCCATTCTGTCTCTGCATTTCCATTTTTTTTCCTGCCAAAGTGGAGTCTCTTACATTTCTCCCCATTTAACTTCATTGTGTTAGTTTTGGCCCACAATGTGAAGATCGTTTTGAATTCTGCTCCTGTCTTCTGGAGTATTGGCCCCCCTAACCTCCCAGTTTGGTCTCGTCTGCAAACTTGATGTTCCTGCCTTCTGACCCTGCATCAAAGCCATTAATACAGATCCTGAACAGAACCGAGCCCAGGAGGGAACCCTGCTGATGGCACTCCACTCGCCACTTCTTTCCGGGATGAAGAGGAAGCATCAGGGAAAAGCACCCTTTGGGTTCGTTTGCTTAACCAATTACAGAGCCACCTAACTGTACTTTTGCCTAGCCCACATTTGACTAGTTTGGATTGCAGATTTTGTACATTTCAGCATTTCAGATCCTCCTTTCATGGGCACTGCCTCTTAGGCTTCCACTTTCCTAAATATTGATCTGGAATCATCGAATCCTAGAGTTAGAAGAGACCTCATGGGCCATCCAGTCCAACCCCATTCTGCCAAGAAGCAGGAATATTGCATTCAAAGCACCCCCAACAAAGCACCGCCATCCAGCCTCTGCTTAAAAGCCTCCAAAGAAGGAGCCTCCACCACACTTTGGGGCAGAGAGTTCCACTGCTGAACAGCTCTCACAGTCAGGAAGTTCTTCCTCATGTTCAGATGGAATCTCCTCTCTTGTAGTTTGAAGCCATTGTTCCATTGCGTCCTAGTCTCCAGGGAAGCAGAAAACAAGCTTGCTCCCTCCTCCTCCCTGTGGCTTCCCCTCACTTATTTATCCATGGCCCTCATCATGTCTCCTCTCAGCCTTCTCTTCTTCGGGCTAAACATGCCCAGCTCTTTAAGCCGCTCCTCATAGGGCTTGTTCTCCAGACCCTTGATCATTTTAGTCGCCCTCCTCTGGACACATTCCAGCTTGGAGTCAACATCTCCCTTCAGTTGTGGTGCCCAGAATTGGACACAATATTTTGGACTTTGAAAGAAAACTCAGGGCTTCTGAGCATGGGCAGAACTTCCTCTTTTCACCCCTGATTGCTCTCCTGCATTAATTATGATTGCTCCCCTGCATTAATTTGCAGAGTGCGGATGGAATTGTATTGCCGAAGGCTTTCGTGGCCAGAATCACTGGGTTGTTGTAGAATTTTGGGGCTGTTTGGCCATGTTCTAGACGGTGGTCAATTTCAACAAAAAGGAAGAAACCATGAAAATGAACAACATCTGGCTACCAGTATTTAAAACAGCAAATAAAGAACAACACTCAAGCACAGGGGAACTCCAGACAAGAAACAACTAGGGACAGCTAATCACCTCCCAACAAAGGATTCCCCCAGGCAGGAAGAAGCCAGACCTTGAAAATTGCTAGGCCATTCAATGCTAATCAAGCTGGCCAGTTGCAACATTCACACCTACCTCAAAGGGACAAGAGTTCTTTCTCCCACCCTGAACATGTTGGGAGGTGTTAGCTGGCCCTGATTGTTTAATGTTAAGAATTCCCCTGTTGTTTGAGTGTTTCTCTTTATTTACTGTCCCTATTCCCCCAGGCAGGAATCAGCCAATCTTTGAGGCTGCAAAGCCATTCAATGCTAATCAAGGTGGCCAGTTGCAACACTCACACCCACCTCAAAGGGACAAGAGTTCTTTCTCCCACCCTGGACATGTTGGGAGATGTTAGCTGGCCCTGATTGTTTAATGTTCTTTCTCCCACCCTGAACATGTTGGGAGGTGTTAGCTGGCCCTGATTGTTCAATGTCAGGAATTCCCCTGTTGTTTGAGTGTTTCTCTTAATTTACTCTCCCTATTCCCCCAGGCAGGAATCAGCCAGTCTTTGAAGCTGCGAGGCCATTCAATGCTAATCAAGGTGGCCAATTGAAACATTCACACCTGCCTCAAGCAGACAAGAGTTGTCTCTCCCACCCTGGACATGTTGGGAGGTGTTAGCTGGCCCTGATTGTTTAATGTTCTTTCTCCCACCCTGAACATTTTGGGAGGTGTTAGCTGGCCCTGATTGTTTAACATCAGGAATTCCCCTGTTGTTTGAGTGTTTCTCTTTATTTACTGTCCCTATTCCCCCAGGCAGGAATCAGCCAGTCTTCGAAGCTGCGAGGCCATTCAATGCTAATCAAGGTGATCAACGAAACATTCACACCCACCTCAAAGGGACAAGAGTTCTTTCTCCCACCCTGGACATGTTGGGAGATGTTAGCTGGCCCTGATTGTTTAATGTTCTAAAATTCCCCTGTTGTTTGAGTGTTTCTGTTTATTTACTGTCCCTATTCCCCCAGGCAGGAATCAGCCAGTCTTTGAAGGCCATTCAATGCTAATTAAGGTGGCCAATTGGAACATTCACACCTACCTCCAACAGACAACAGAGTTCTTTCTCCCACCCTGGACATTTCACAGATATATAAACCTCATTTTCCTAGTTTCCAACAGACCTTGCAACCTCTGAGGATGCCTGCCATAGATGCAGGCGAAACGTCAGGAGAGAATGCTGCTAGAACATGGCCATAGAGCCTGAAAAACCTACAACAACCCTGTGGATGGAATTGCAAGTGGGCAGCCTTTTGAACAGATATACTCTTTGCAAATAATTAAAAGCATTACCCGCTTCCAAGTTAATGTTCACCTGCGCTTTGCCCCACCTTTGCAATCTTTCCAAACAATAATCACCTGCAACATTTCAGCTCGCGAGATCTTCCCATCCTTGTCTTGGTCGTATAGTTGAAAAGCAACTAAACAGAAATCAGAATGGCAGGGAATTAGAAATATGGATGCAAAGATATGCATAAGATTTGGAGACTGGGTATGTTAACTGGAACTGAAACTAAGGAAGGAGTTCTGCAATCTGGGCATCGTGGAAGCCTCCAAAGAAGGAGCCTCCACCACACTCCGGGGCGGAGAGTTCCACTGCTGAACAGCTCTCACAGTCAGGAAGTTAAAATCATAGAGTTCAAAGAGACCTCGAGGGCCATCCAGACCAACCCCATTCTGCCAAGAAGCAGGAAAATCACATTACAAAGCACCCCCGACAGATGGCCATTCAGCCTCTGCTTAAAAGCCTCCAAAGAAGGAGCCTCCACCACACTCTGGGGCAGAGAGTTCCACTGCTGAACAGCTCTCACAGTCAGGAAGTTAAAATCATAGAGTTCGAAGAGACCTCGAGGGCCATCCAGACCAACCCCATTCTGCCAAGAAGCAGGAAAATTGCATTCAAAGCACCCCCGACAAATGGCCGTTAGTAAGTTCTTAGAATCATAGAATCATTTACTATACAAGTATAGTAAATAATAAATAAAGTTGGGTGAGACCTTGTGGGTCATCCAGTCCAACCCCATTCTGCCAAGAAGCAGGAAAATCACATTCAAAGCACCCCTGACAGATGGCCATTCAGCCTCTGCTTAAAAGCCTCCAAAGAAGGAGCCTCCACCACACTCTGGCAGAGAGTTCCACTACTGAACAGCTCTCACAGTCAGGAAGTTAGAATCATAGAGTTCGAAGAGACCTCGAGGGCCATCCAGTCCAACCCCATTCTGCCAAGAAGCAGGAAAATTGCATTCAAAGCACCCCCGACAGAGGGCCTTCCAGCCTCTGCTTAAAAGCCTCCATAGAAGGAGCCTCTACCACACTCCAAGGCGGAGAGTTCCACTGCTGAACAGCTCTCACCGTTAGGAAATTCTTAGAATCATGGAATCATATTTACTATACAAGTATAGTAAATAATAAATAAAGTTGGGTGAGACCTCGTGGGTCATCCAGTCCAACCCCATTCTGCCAAGAAGCAGGAAAATCACATTCAAAGTACTCCTGACAGAGGGCCATCCGGCCTCTGTTTAAGAGCCTCCAAAGAAGGAGCCTCCACCACATTCCAAGGCAGAGAGTTCCACTGCTGAACAGTCCTCACAGTCAGGAAGTACTTAGAATCATAGAATCCTAGAGTTGGAAGAGACCTCATGGGCCATCCGGTCCAACCCCATTCTGCCAAGAAGCAGGAAAATCACATTCAAAGCACCCCCGACAGATGGCCATCCAGCCTCCATTTAAAAGCTTCCAAAGAAGGAGCCTCCACCACACTCCGGGGCAGAGAGGTCCACTGCTGAACAGCTCTCACTGTTAGGAAGTTCTTAGAATCATAAAATCATATTTACTATACAAGTATAGTAAATAAATAATAAATAGAGTTGGAGAAGACCGCATGGGCCATCCAGTCCAACCCCATTCTGTCAAGAAGCAGGAAAATCGCATTCAAACCACTCCTGACAGAGGGCAATCTGGCCTCTGTTTAAAAGCCTCCAAAGAAGGAGCCTCCACCACACTCCGGGGCGGAGAGTTCCACTGCTGAACAGCTCTCACAGTCCGGAAGTTCTTAGAATCATAGAATTATAGAGTTGGAAGAGACCTCATTGGCCATCCAGTCCAACCCCATTCTCCCAAGAACCAGGAAAATCACATTCAAAGCACCCCCGACAGATGACCATCCAGCCTCTATTTAAAAGCCTCCAAGGAAGGAGCCTCTACCACACTCCGAGGCAGAGAGTTCCACTGCTGAACAGATCTCACAGTCAGGAAGTTAGAATCATAGAGTTTGAAGAGATCTTGTGGGCCATCCAGTTCAACCCCATTCTGCCAAGAAGCAGGAAAATTCATTCAAAGCACCCTCGACAGATGATCATCCAGCCTCTGTTTAAAAGCCTCCAAGGAAGGAGCCTCTACCACACTCCGAGGCAGAGAGTTCCACTGCTGAACAGCTCTCACCGTTAGGAAGTTCTTAGAATCATAGAATTATAGAGTTTGAAGAGACCTCATCGGCCATCCAGTCCAATCCCATTTTGCCAAGAAGCAGGAAAATCACATTCAAAGCACCCCCGACAGAGGGCCATCCAGCCTCCGTTTAAGAGCCTCCAAAGAAGGAGCCTCCACCACACTCTGGGGAAGAGAGTTCCACTGCTGAACAGCTCTCACCGTTAAGAAGTTCTTAGAATCATAGAATTATATAGTTCGAAAAGACCTTGTGGGCCATCCAGTCCAATCCAATTTTGCCAAGAAGCAGGACAATCGTGTTCAAAGCACCCCCAACAGATGGCCATCCAGTCTCTGTTGGACAGGATAGCCCACAAAGTCTTTTCGAACTCTATTTATTATTTATTTATTTACTATACTTACCCTCATATATTTATACAGGGCCCTCCCCATGTCTCCTCTCAACCTCCTCTCCTGCAGGCTAACCATGCCCAGCTTTTTAAGCCGCTCCTCATAGAGCTTGTTCTCCAGACCCTTGATCCTTTGAATCTCACTCCTCTGGACACATTCCAGCTTGTCAACATCTCCACAATGATGTAAACTCACACTTTAGCTTGTTAAGACGACTGTTGACACTCCCGGGTTCTCCAGGTTCTTCCACTGGCCGGAAGTGGGCCAAGACACGGGCAAACGTTCGGAAGTCAGTGGTCTCTGCACTAGAGAGAAAGCAGGCCCTTCATATTACCACTCGATCATGGATCAGCTTGGGGAAATTTCT